GCCTCCCTGAGGATGAGGCCAGGGCCAGCTGAGGTTGGGGGCTCGTCAGACCAGCCCTGCGGCCCAGTCCCGGGACACAGCCCTACTGAGTCAGCACTGCGGGCTGCCAGCCTCCGTGGACAAGCAGGAGGGGCAGAAGGGAAAGGGTGGATCCTGGGAGGGTGAGCCGGGCAGGCTTCACTGGCCCCCTTGAGGGGGTGCCCCAGGCCGGGTCGCTTGCTGAAGTGACGAAGCCCACCAGCCTCCTGGGTCCATGTGCCTTGGGTCCTCCTGGAATTGCACCCCACCCTCCCCTGCCTACCTGAGACAGCAGGAGGAGGGGAGCATGTTCACAGCGCACATTGTGCCAGGAGGCATGCTGAAGCCTCAGATAACCGGGCCACATCTTCCCCATCTCTGTGCTCTGGGGGAGTGGCCACCATCATCTCCACTGGACAGGAGGAAACAGGCTCAGAGAGGTTAAGTGACTTGCCCAGTGTTACACAGCCAGAGCGTGGCAGAGCCAACATTCTCATCTCAGCCTGGGAATCTAAAGCCCGAGATGGTTTGTGCTCCCATCAGGCAGGTGGTCCCCGCCCCTGCCATGGCAGGTCGGGGTCATCCACCTTGAGACCCAGCCCCCCGTGCCCTGCCTGGCAGGGCCCTGAGGGCTTTGCGGCAGAGCCCAGCTGCACAAGCAGGCAGACGCTAGCAGTAAACTTGATCTATGGGCAAAACACTGGAATGGTAAAGGTATCGATCTGTAACTTCCCACCCACCTCCCCGCCTCCCACGTGCCTGGCCCTCGGCCCACATTTCCCTCTGGAGGCCCTGAGTCACCTGGGTCAGCACAGCCCCCATACCAGCCTGGCCTCTGCCGCTGGCGGCGAGCGTTGAGGAGACCCAGGGTATTTTCAGGCAGATGCATTCCTGTCCCAGCAGGGCTGTGGCGTTATGCAAATCCCCTCATAAGAAGTTTAAAAGCCTGGAACAACCGTATTTATTTCATTAGCAGCAGGCTGCAGAGTTGATGTGACAGCCTCACACGCACTGTCCCCATTGTCCCCTGGGCAACAGGTGCTCTCTGCAGTGGGGGGCGGTGCGGTCAGGAGACGTCAAGGAGAGCTGAGTGTGCACACGCGTGTTGCTGGTCAAGAGATTTCACGGACGGCTCTGGCCTGGGAGACATGGGGCCCTGGACACCTCAAAACAGAGCCCTCAGGGGTGCCTGGCTCAACCCATGGTGTCACTGGAGGGAAACTGAGGCCTGGAGGAGGAACTAAGAAACCTCTGGCTCAGGCTTGGATCCTGGCCTCAGCCTCTCCTGCTGTCACTGAACGGAGAGGGAGGAGGGGTCAGTCCCAGCAAGCATTGGCACAGTGCAACGCAGCCAGGGCCCAGGGAGGGAAGCTACTGCCTCCAGGCCAGGCCCCATCTGGCACTCAGCCCAGCGGCCCTGCCCCCCGCTCCCACCAGGGGGCCAACAGTGGCATGGCCCACCGCTGCCCACGCTGGATGCCCGCCCCCCCCCGTGCGCGTTCTCTGAGAGCACAGGCTTCCTGTCCCCTCTGCCTGGAATGGTGTTTCCCTTTTTGCCTAACAAACTCCTACTTACCTGCCAGCATCCCCCAAGCAGCACATCGAGGAAGGCCTCTGTGGCCCAAATTCCACTGAGCCTCCCTGGCGCTGCTCAGGCCTTTCCCACTGGACCTAATGCCCAGTGCCAGGTACACCTGCCAGGTACACCACCTGCCATGCAAGGAGCAAGGCCATGGGTTAAAACGTGGATGCAAAGGGCTCTCCTGCTGCCCGGTCTTAAAAGGCAAGGCAGGTGGTGACCAGAGGGCGCTGTGTGTGTCCGCGTGTGCGCCTGTATGTATATGTGGCAATTCTGTGCTTGTGTCTAAGCGTTTTCTGCATCCATGGGGTTTGGTGGCTCTCACTGGGACTGACCCCATTATAAAGATGAGCAAACCAAGGCCATGCAACTAGTGCCACCAGAGCCAGAGGTTGGACCCAGGACCCCACTGTGATGCAGCCAGGGGCCTCAGCTCCTTCCTTTAAGAAGTGGGGTCATGGTCACATGACTTCACAGGCTGTTGTGTGTGCCGGGCGGGGCGGTGAGCCTTGTGCTGCCCAGCTCAGTGGCCGGGGGTGTCTGCCCAGCCAGGTGAGGAGGTATGTGGGGAGAAAGCCCTCTGCCCTCAGGCTGGGTTCTTCCCCCCAAGGAGTGTATCAGCCTCTGTAGGTCAGAGGAGGGGTAAGCAGGTGGCTGTGGCCCAGTGCTGAGACGTGGCCATTTTAGGCCCCTCCCCAACGGGGTGATGGCCCCACCGAGGGTTACAGCTGGGCCGGCGCTTGCAGGGTACTGCAGCCCTTCAGGACTCCCGGGCAGTGGGGGCTGCTGGGGGCATCGTCCCAGGGTGGCTGGAGACGTTTCCCTGCTACACCGGGCATCGGAGTGAGGAGAGAGGACGGGGCACTGGCTTCTGGGGTGAGGACTGTGGTGGGGGGGTGAGGCGTAAAGCACTCGGCAGGGGAGGAACACAGAAGGGCTGCAGTGCTGGAGCCCCGAAAGGGCGCCCCCGCAGGTGAGGACAGCCTGGCCACAGGGACGGTTAGGGGCCGGGGGAGGCAGGGGGCCAACAGTGGGGCCAGCAGCCAGGGCGGCAGTTTGGAGACCCAGGGCAGAAAGTGGGCCTGGAAGAAGCGGGCTGGGCCAGATGCTGCTGAGAGGCTGAGAAGGGTGGACCCGGGGTGTGCCCCGTGGAGCTGGTGAGACAGGTCACTAGTGGCCTCGAGGGCTGCACTACGGGTAAAGGGGTGGAGTAGAAGCCACCACAAGCCTTTCAGGTAAAGTGGCCTCAGATGGGCAAGTTTTGGAAGGTTCTAGAACCAGCTGTTCAGTACAACAGCCATGAGCCACATTTCTAGCTGTGCGGATGGGCAGCCTTGAGGACAGGCCTAGGGGCCGGGCCATATCCCATCAGAACCTTTCTAGGTGATTCGGCCAGTTCCCTGGGCAGCTGTTCCCAAGGCCCTGCTTCTGTCAGGCCCCACCGGGCTCCTAGACCCATGGGGTGGCATCCTGTTCCCCCACCGAGGGGTTAACTCGGGGATCCCTATTCCTGCGGGGCCTGGTGGGTCCCCCAGGGCTGAGGTCATGGGGGCTCCAGCACAGCAGAGGCAGATCTTCCTGAGGGAGGTGGGGCCAGCCGCCAGGGCCACCCTCTCCCAGCCCGGGGCTCCGGGGCAGGAGGGAACTGGGGCAGGCTACCAGGTCAGCTTCCGGAGGTGCCTAAGCCCTTCACCTGCAGGCATGTGTCCACATGTACATGCTGATGTAGGCCCTGGTGTGTGCTAAAGATGCACACACCTCTTGTACACACATAACAGAGCCCAGCACATGTGTGCAAGCACATAGGCATGTAGCCCCACATGCCTGCAAATCCCTGTGTGCATGCAGTTCTTCAGGTCCCCAGACCCACAGACCCCTGGGTCAGCCTGGGAGCCAGCAGGGTCCTGGGGGCCCTGGGCCTGTGCCTCTGGTCAGTCCCCACCTGTGATGAGGGTTAGGGCCTGTAATCCTCTTTAACTTGACTTTGAGTTATTTTGAGCAAGAGATTAAAGGTGATTATGCTCAAATTGCTGAGGCACCACACTGCCTAGATGGGCTGGTGCAGCCCCGCTATACCCTGCCTGCCACCCTCTGCATCCAGAACGCAGGCCAGGGGCTTGTGGCCTCATGGGGGCCCCAGGTGACCTGAGTCACCTCATGGACACAGGCTGCCTGGTCCCCTGGGTGGATGAGGCAGGCAGGCACCGCCTGGAGGTGGTGGTGAGCCCAGCCCCAGGGGATTGTAGGGTTTATATTACAAGCCAGCGTGCTCTGGGGAGAGGTCCCATGCATGCCCCACCCTGCCCCCTGGTATCCCGTGCCAGCCCCTCCCCATCTGATGTCTCTGTAATCAGAAGTAGCCAGTTACCCAGCAGCCGGATCAAAACTGTTTCTAGGAAGTTTCCAAAGGGGGAAGATCATTGCACATCATTATGTCTTTCCCCTAATTTAAACCACCTCAGCCCAGACTAGTTGCAGAAGTCACTATCAGTGAAATACACTCGGCTGGCCGCGCGCCAGGCCACAGAGCAGTGCAGAGGCCGCTGTAAATCCAAACATTAACTAGCGGCCTCACACCCATCTGCCCTGCAGGAGGAACATGAGGGCGGAGGGGTGAGTCCCACACATGGCGGTCCTCCTGCAGGAGGGGGCAGCCGATCCTGGGGGAGCTGGGCAGGGGTGGGGGGAGGCAGGGCAGGCTGCAGGTCGCTGAGCCTAGAAGGCTGTGGGGCTTGGGGGTCTTGTCAGAGCCACTCCCTCCTTCCAGGTCCCCAGAGCCAGGTGGAAGGCCTCAGAGCCCACCCTGCTGGCTCACATGGGGACACAGGGTGAGAAGCAACAGAATGCACCAACCCGCAAGGCGGGATCGCTCAGACCCAGAACCTGGCTTCCCCCCAGCCGCCTCAGGCAGGAGGCAAGGGTGCTGAAGTATTTGCCTATCGGCCAGGGCTCAGAGCCCCCTCCAGGCACCTCATTCCTGTCTTCCGGCCACATAGCCCTGTCTCTGGCCTGCTGGCAACTTTAGGCCTCCCCTCTGGGCCTGTTTCCTCACTTAACAAATGGGGTCCTGATGAGGTGGCCCAGGCAGGACACATGGTTCCTGATTCTTTGCGGCCACCATGGCTGCTGAGCCAGCCGAGCAGGTAGTGTCCTGTCCACCTCAAGAGGCCCCTGGGCAGGTGGAGCTCAGAGCCAGGGCCTCCCCTACTGCCATCCCCGCCCTCAGGCACACACGAACCTCACAGCCACGTCCCGAGTGCTGCCTACTGCTCGAATCGCCCTGTCCCGCCACGGGCCTCTCTAATGCGTCTCCTCTGACAAGGTGGATGCTGGGCCACCTCGGCCACTGGACCCACGGAACACAGTGCCGTCCCCTGAGCCTCTCTCCTCTCTTGCTTTGCAGCAGGACCGGCAGAGCTGGAGACGCAGGGAGCTGTCAGGACGCCTAGGCCGATGGGGAAGGAGGCCTCGGCAGGACGCGGGTGGATGACGGGAGGCGGCCGGCAGTGAGGGAGACACGCTCCCTCCCGGCGACCATGCGGTTTGGGACAGGACATCCCTGAGGACACAGCTTCCCCTTCTGCCCCCCATCACCCCGGAAGGCTGAGCAGGTCTCCCACAGCAATGGTCCCCATGGCCGCCTGCCGGTGGGGGGCACTGTGGGCATGTGTGGCCGCGGCCATCCTGCTGCACGTGGGCGGGCTGGCCTGGGGCGACTGCTGGCTGATCGAGGGTGACAAGGGCTTCGTGTGGCTGGCCATCTGCAGCCAGAACCAGCCACCATACGAGGCCATCCCGCAGCAGATCAACAGCAGCGTGGTGGACCTGCGGCTCAATGAGAACCGCATTCGCAGCGTGCAGCATGCCTCCCTCAGCCGCTTCGGCAACCTCACGTACCTCAACCTCACCAAGAACGAGATTGGCTTCATTGAGGATGGCGCCTTCTCGGGCCAGTTCAACCTGCAGGTGTTGCAGCTGGGCTACAACCGGCTACGGAGCCTGACAGAGGGCGTGCTGCGTGGGCTGGGCAAGCTGGAGTACCTGTACCTGCAGGCCAATCTTATTGAGGTGGTTGCGCCCGGCGCCTTCTGGGAGTGCCCCGGCATCGTCAACGTGGACCTGTCCATGAACCGCATCCAGCAGCTGCACAGTGCCACGTTCTCCGGGCTGCCCCGGCTGTCTGTGTGCGAGCTCTACAGCAACCCCTTCTACTGCTCCTGCGAGCTCCTGGGCTTTCTGCGCTGGCTAGCTGCCTTCACCAACACCACGCAGACCCACGACCGCATGCAGTGCGAGTCGCCGCCGCTCTACTCCGGCTACTTCCTCCTGGGCCAGGGCCGCCATGGCCACCGCAGCATCCTCAGCAAGCTGCAGTCTGTGTGCACCGATGGCTCCCATGCGGCCGAGCCCCTCCCGGGGCCAGGCCATCTGCAGCCGGGCCGCTCGCCACCCCCACCCCTGCCACCTGAGCCCAGTGAGGCCCCCTGCACTGATGATGAGTGCTTCTCTGGCGATGGCACCACACCGCTGGTAGCCCTGCCCACGCTGGCCTCCCAGGCCGAGGCCCGTCCCCTCATGAAGGTCAAGCAACTGACGCAGAACTCGGCTACTATCATGGTGCAGCTACCCAGCCCGTTCAACCGCATGTACACACTGGAGCACTTCAACAACAGCAAGTCATCCACTGTCTCCAGGCTGACCAAGGCCCAGGAGGAGATCCGCCTGACCAACCTGTATGCACTCACCAACTATACCTACTGTGTGGTCTCCACCAGCTCCGGGCTGCACCACAACCACACTTGCCTCACCATCTGCCTGCCCAAGCCTCCCAGCCCGCCCGGGCCCGTGCCCAGCCCCTCCACGGCCACCCACTACATCATGACGATCCTGGGCTGCCTGTTCGGCATGGTGCTGGTGCTTGGTGCCGTCTACTACTGCTTGCGCAGACGGCGGCGCCAGGAAGAGAAGCACAAGAAGGCAGCCTCGGCAGCGTCAGCCGGCAGTCTCAAGAAGACCATCATCGAGCTCAAGTACGGGCCCGAGTTGGAGGCGCCCAGCCTGGCCCCACTGTCCCAGGGTCCACTGCTGGGCCCTGAGGCCGCACCCCGCATCCCATACCTGCCGGTGGCCGCCAGCGAGATGGAGCAGTACAAGCTGGTGGAGAGCTGCGAGACGCCCCAGGCCGGCAAGGGCAGCTACATGGAGGTACACACGGGCGAGCAGGCAGAGCGCAGGGACTGTGAGCCAGGCCGGCCGGGCCCCAGCAGCCAAAGCTCCGTGGCTGAGATCTCCACCATCGCCAAGGAGGTGGACAAGGTCAACCAGATCATCAACAACTGCATTGATGCGCTCAAGTCTGAGTCCGCCTCTTTCCAGGGTGGCAAGCAGGGGGCCGTGTCGGTGGCTGAGCCACCGCTGGTGCTGCTGGCTGACCCGCTGGCAGGCAAGCACGGTTTCCTAGCGCCTGTGTACCAGGACCCCTTCGGCCATGGCCTGCCACGGCACCACAGCGTGGAGGCAGCTGCGGGGCCCATACATGCCAGCACCTCATCTGGCGGCTCTATGCGCAGCCCGCGGGCCTTCCATGCTGAAGCCGCCAGTATGCACAAGGCTGCGACTGCCGAGGCCCAGTACATCGAGAAGAGCTCACCCGCGGCCGGTGCCATCCTCACTGTGACACCCGCGGCCACCGTGCTGCGGGCCGAGGCCGAGAAGGGCCGCCAGCACCGGCACTCGTACCCCGGATCCCACCCCACTGCACCCTCCGTGTCCCCCGCACCCCCACCCCAGGAGGGCCCAGGCGGCCGCAAGGCATCCATCCTGGAGCCACTGACCCGGCCGCGACCCCGCGACCTGGCCTACGCACAGCTGTCTCCGCAGTACCATAACCTGAGCTACTCCTCCAGCCCCGAGCACACCTGCAGGGCCCCCCAGAGCATCTGGGGGCGTCTCGGACTGAGCCGCCGGCGGCACAAGGAAGACGAGGAGTTCATGGCGGCTGGCCATGCCCTGCGCAAAAAGGTGCAGTTTGCCAAAGATGAGGATCTGCACGACATCCTGGACTACTGGAAGGGTGTGTCTGCCCAGCACAAATCCTGAGCCCACCACCTGGTGCCGCCCCCGAAACTCGTGATGCCCACTGGACCAAAAAGGACCTGAGCCACTGCAGCTGTTTGTAACCCAGAGACTTACACACACACACTCACACTCAACAGCAGCCATCGCTGACGCCTGGGGGCCTGCAGAGAAAGTGGGGAGGAGGTGCTGACAGCAGACACAGGTGGCCGAATGCCTGCCCGGCCCTGGTGGTCTCACAGGTGTGAGCGGCTGCCCACACTCACTGTGCGTGCACACACACACACACACACAAGGAACTTCGGAAAACTGTGTCTTAGGGGTGGGATGGGGGATGGGAGATTTTTTCATTCTCTCTCTTCGTTTGATTCTTCTGCCTCTATTTTCCTTTCTCTTTTCTTCCGTTTTTAAAAATAAATAAATAAAAGCTCTCTTAACAAGATATGAAACACCAGACATGGGGAGCACGGCCTGCATGGCCGCCTGCTTGCATGATCTCCTCTGTCTGTGGTTCTCTGTGGACGTTATTCAGTCTGTCTCTTCACTGCCACCTCCGGAGGCCACCAGAGAGGGGCAGAGCGGATGCAGGCATCCGGGGCTGTCCTGGAGCCCTGCAGGACTCAGGGGAGGGCTGTGCCTGTGGCCAATGGGGTGGCCTGGAGAGGCGAGGTGGAAGTGCTCCCGCCCTGCCCCCACTGCACACGGCTGTCGTCCTATTGTACAGAAGAATATTTCTATATTTGCAATGTTCGCTGTAAAATGAGAGAGAGAAAAGAACTAAGTTTACTAAAAAAAAAAAATTCTGCAAAGGAAAAAAACCCAAATACTTGTTTGTACTGGGTTTTTACTGTGGGAATTAGGGAAATAATTGGTGGTTCTTTTATGGCTGGTTTGGGGATGGGGCCTGGGTTCCAGGTGGGTCACTACTGAGCTCTCTTCCCAGGGGGGCAGGCATGACCTTGAATGGCCACTGGCAGAGCACCTGAGAGTCAGGGGAGTCAGGGACAGCCGACATGGGCTGTGGGCATGAGGGGGTATATGGGGCCCAGGTGCTGTGCACAGGGCCAGACCTGGGAGCTGAGGGGCTGGAGCGGGCCTGAGGGCGGCCAGGGGTGGCAAGGTGAGTGTGGGTGCTGTGGGTTTGTGGGTGAGCTTCAGGGCATGTTGGGGTGCCCCTGCAATGGCCAGGACCCCTGGGGATGCTGGGCTTGAGCCAGACCCCTCCAGGGGCATCTTGTCCACCTTGGTGCAGCCCCAAATTTAGAATGAGCATGTGGCTGGAGTGCATGTGTGAAGCACTGTTCAAACTCCCCAGGGAAGATGGCATCCCAGCACCCAGCCCAGAGGAAGCCCCTCTGTGGCTGGCTGAGTGCTCCTGGCTCCCAGGCCCTCATGCTGCCCTCGTGCCCCATCAGCCCTGCACCTGCCCCCACCCCTCTGCCCCCAGGTCCTCCGTTGCCCCGATCCCTGGCTGGGCTGGCCCTCTCCTGTCCTTCCTGGAGCCCCGTGCCCATGCCTCCATCTGGGGCAAGCTCATTCCCAGCCTGCATGTCTAGAACTGGACCCAAGGGGCAGTGGGGGCCCAGGAGGCGCCAAAGCTGGGAGCAGAGTGAGGGAAGCTCTGGGGGCTGGTGGGTGGCAGGGATGGGCGTGGCCCCCAGGTGCGACAGCAGGGCTGGGAGGCGGTGGGGGTGGGGGGTTAGCACAGGCTCTGCTCACACCCCCACGACAGAAAGTCAGCCCTCCTCAGTAGCTGTTTCCAGTCCTGGGTGCCTCTCTGAGACAGGGAGGAAGCCTACGGGGTGGCGTGGGTGGGGCCATCACCCTCCTGCACACGCCCACCTCACCCTGACCTCTGCTTGGCTGGCCCCATTAAGGTCCTGGTGAGCAAGGTCTTCACATGCACATGACCTGGGGGGCTCAGACTGGCCCCTCGACAGCCTCTCCAGAGCAGGGCCTTCTGACGGTGCTGCATGGCTGGCCCCTCTCTGCTTGGCCCAAGAGGCCCCAGGCTTCCCCACTCCAGGTGGCTCACCCTCCGCCATGGGGTCCCGGGACGATGGCTCTAGGGGGCCTGCAGAGGCTGTAAGTGGGCCCACAAGGCCAGGCCCAGGGCAGTGGGGGCAGGGAGAGGAGGCAGGGCCTGGTGTGGAGGCCCAGAGAGGGGCCTGTGTTGCCCGAGGTCGCACAGTACACATGGTGACAGTCCTGACCCTGGGACAGAGCTGGGCCAGGCCTCTCGGCCTGCAGCTCCCTATGTCTAAGGAGATGAAGTTGGCTATTGTAGGGGATCAGAGGACACGCTCAGGGTAGAGGAGCTGCCTAACCCCAGACAGGCCAGCTCACGCTGCCACCAAGCAGGGATGTGGAGGCAGAGGCCAGGACTGAAGAGGGCCCCAAGGAGGGAGGGTGTGGGTCCTGGGCAGCCAAGAATGTCCATTCCAGGAGCCCGGACCCGGGAACACTGGGGCCCTTCAGAGGCACCCTAACTGCCTGACGCCACACCAGCCTTGGGACCCAGGCCCTGCGTCCTGAGCCCTTGCTTGAAGGAGGCCATGGTGGAGCCAACCCAAGTAGAGGATGCATGTACTCGGCACCTACTATTTGCAGGGCTCTGCACTGAACAGTACTGGTGCCCAGAGAGGGGTCCCACCTGCCCCAGCCCCTGCGGGCCTCACAGGCCAGCTCAGGGTGGTGGGCCAGGAGACCCAGGGAGGGCGGCCTGCCCAAGGAGAACCTGGCAGGCTCTCTGGGAGAGATGGTGTGTGGCCTGGATAAGGAAACCGCGGTGAGGAGGGTGAAGTCCAAGAAGGTCTGCGTTCTGAGGGTTCAGCTGAGCTGCAAGTGCAGGACCAGGGTCTGTGTGGAGCCCTGCCTGCGGTGGGAATTGGTGCCTGGCTTCTGTGAGGTGAGGCTCGGACCCAGGCCCCGCCGGCCTGCCCTGGCACAGCACGCGGATGCTGACACCTGCCACTGCCATGCACTGGGTCACCGAGAGCTCGTGGGGCCTGTGGGGCCAGAGGCCGCCTGTGCGCTGGAGGTTCTGTGCCAGTTCTGTCAGCAAGGAATGCTGCCTAACAGCCGTGGATGCGCTACTGCCCCCGCTGCGCTCCCCATGTCCCCTGCCCTCCAACAAGCCAGCTCTCCTGGCGATGGTGGAGGGTGAGCCCCTGTGGCCACACTGACTAACGGTTGATGGCTGGAGTGAGTCACACGGCTGAGCTCAAAGTCAAGGGGTGAGATGGGCCACCCCACCCCAGCAGCATGTGGTGAAGGGCATGGCCCAGGGAGGGGTGAAGAATTAGGGCTGCAGCCTCCCTCAGGCCAGACTGCGGAGCTCAGAGCAGGAAACCCAATACGTGTTCCTCAAGTCCGCTCAGCCACCCAGCATGCAATTACAGAGCACAGGTGTGCGGCAGGCAGGCCAGAGGCATGGATGAAACACGTCCTCCTCCCTTGAGGGGGAGTCAGTCACAGTCCCAACAGGAAAGAGGTGACTCTCCAAATAGAGTAATTCAAGGGGGGGGTGGCCTACAAGGCACCATTTCCAGATAGTGAAGGGGACCAACAGGGACAGCAACAGGCAAGCTGGGATGAGGGGACTGTCAGAGGGCTTCCAGCAGGATGCCACCACAGGCCCCGTCCCTGGCCCTCCCTCTCCTGCGGCCCCAGCAGGTGAATGGCCCAGGAGGCAGAAGGCCCAGGGATGAGGTCCCTACCAGCCCGTGGCCTGCAGAGGATGTGCCGAGCAGCTTGCTGCCAAGGTCTGGGGCCGAGCCAGAGAGGCCTGGGGGCTATGGGAGAGGCTGCCACTGACCGGACAATCCGACGCATGCTGACAAGGCGCCAGGGGAGGCCGGTGAGGTGGCCGTCACCTCCCCTGCAGAGTGGGGGACTTCATCACTGGAGACCTTGAAGGACAAACAGGAGTTGGCAAGGCAGAGATGGGGAGGGCAGTTGGGCAAGGGACCTCTACCCAGAGGGAATGGCAGGACTGAGGCCCCCCAGAGCTCCTCCAGCCCGGGGAGGCAGGTGCAGCCTGGGTATGGTGGGGCGGGCGCTGCTGGATGCAGGGAGGTGGGCGAGCCAGGCTCTGAGGGTCCACCGAGCAAGCATGAAGACAGCGTGGGGCTGCGGCGGCCACTGATGGCACTTACGTGACTTGGATTGATTTTTTTCCCATGGCAAAAGTAATCCTTTCATTACATAAACTTTAGAAAAGTTAACCATAGAGAAGAAATGAGAAATCAGTCAATCTCACCACCGGACAAACATGGGGGGCACTTTGGTCTCTGTCCTGCCCTGGCTCTGTAAGCAAGGCAGTGCCTCCCACACGCCCAGTCTGCTTACTCTGCGTGACAGCTCCAAGCGCTCTAGAGCCCCTAATCCCCCCCGGTGGGTCCCACGTGTGCTACCAAGACGGAGACATACCCTGTGCTTTAGGATCTGGTAGCAGAGAAGACACTGATGACGCGAGGGCAGGCGGGACGGGGGGCTGGACGGTGTTTGAGTGAGAGGATGAGTCACGGCTGGAGGGCGGGTGGTCTTGGCCGGCACCGTGCACGGTTGCTCCCCCTGCCCGGGAGGGAGCACCATCCACAGAAGGTCACAGGTGCTGGGGGAAGGTGGGAGCTTGCCTCTGGCCTCACCATCTCTCCTCCTTTGCACTGCCTTTTTATTCTACTTTCTGGGAGGTTTATTTTTAATTTTTAAAATTTGAAGTAAGTATAGGGTCACAGGAAGTCACAAAAATAGTACATAGAGTCCCCAGCTTCCCCAAGGGTAACTCATATAGCAGTAGTGTGTCCTGAAAACCATGAGTTGTTCTGTCCATTGGTACAATCCTGTTAATTAGACTACAGAGCCTATGTGGCCGTCACCGGCTGCCACATGCCCTCGTGTGTGTGTGTGTATGTGTGTGTGTGTGTGTGTGTGGTCTTTGCAGATCTATCCCATGTATATAGATTTGTGTGATTGCCACCACAATCAAGGTACAGAACCAGTCTACCACCAGGATGTCCCTCCTGCCCCCCACTCCATCCCTGACCTCCGGCACCACTAATCTGCTCATCTCTGTCATTTTGAGAATGTTATATAAATGGAATCATACACTGTGTAACCTTTCGATATTGGTTCTTTCAGTAAACACAGACCCTTGAGACCCACCCAAGTTGCTGTGTGTACCAGCAGTATGTTCCTCTTTATTGCTGAGTAATTTGCCATTGTACAGATAATGAGCCATGGCTTGTTTGGCCATTCCCCTGTGATGGACATGTGGGCTGTTTTCCATTTGGGGCTACGACAAATAAAGCTGCTATGAAAATCCTCATGCAGGTTTTCGTGTGAACTCAAGTTTTCATTTCTCCGGGATGAGCACTTAGGAGGGCCATTGCCGGGCTGTGTGGTAAGTGTAAGGAGCTGCCCAGGGATGTCCCAAGATATGACCATTCCACATCCTCACTAACATTTGGTGCTATCACTGGTTTTTATTTTAGTTATCCTAAAAGTGTATAGCAGTATCTCATTGTGGTTTTAATTTATATTTCCCCAGTGTCTGATGTTGTTGAACATCTTTTTCATGTGCTTTTTTGCCATCAGTATCTCTTCTTTCATGAAATATTTCATCTTTTACCCATTTTCTGCATGTCTTGTTTGTTTTTACTGTTGAGTTTTGATAGCCTGTAACTTGTCTTTTGCTCCTCTGAACAGTCTTTCCATGATGCAAAAGTTTTAAATTTCGTTGAAGTCTAGTTTATTACTTTTTTATTATAGATTATGCTTTGGGTGTCATATTTAAGAACCCTTTGCCTGGTCCTGAAGATATTCTTCAATGTTTTCTTTTAGAAGACTTATAGTCTATGTAAACCCATAGCCTATTTTGAATTAATTTTGGTATAAGATGTGAGGCTTCAGTCAAAGGTTTTTGTTTTGTTTTTTGCTTATGGATGTTCAATCACTCTCATACTATTTGTTGAAAAGACTTCACTAGTTCCATTGAATGGCTTTTGCCCCTTTGCAAAAATTCAACAGTTGTACTTGTGTGGTTCTCCTGGGTCTCTATCCTGTTCTGTTGATATATGTGTTTACCTTTCCACTGGTACCAAACTGTCTTGATTGTAGCAGCTACACAGTAAATATTTACATTGGGTACAATGACTACTCCCATTTCATTCTTCTTTTTCTTTATCTACAAAACATCTAATTGGTGTTTTACTAGGAATCATGATTAAACTATAGATAAATTAAGGAAGAACTGACATCATTATTATGTTGAATCTTCCAATCCATGAACATAGTATGTCTCACTATTTGAATATTCTCTTTTTTGATCAGCATTTTGTAATTTGCAGCATACAGATTTTGTATATTTTTTGTTAGATTTATACCTAGGTCATTCTTTCTTTTTTAAGTATAACAAAAATTAGAGGAGAAGTAAATGAAATAGGGACTACAAGGCAATAGAAAAGATCAATGAAACTAAGAGCCAATTAAAAAAAAAGATAAATGAAATTGGTAAGCCTCTAGCTAGACTCACCAAGAAAAAAAGGGGGACTCAAATAAAATCAGAAATGAAAGATGCTACAACAGATACCACAGAAATACAAAGGATCACAAAACTACTATAAACAATTATAGACCAAGAAAGTGGGTAACTTAGGAAAAAAATAAATTCCTAGAAACATACAACCTACCATGACTGAATCATGAAGAAATAGGAAATCTGACAGACCAATTACTAGTAAGGAGATTGAATCAGTAATCAAACCTCCCAATAAACAAAAAGGACCAGATGGCTTCACTTGTGAATTCTACCAAACATTTAAAGAAGAATCAATACTAATTCTTCTCAAACTCTTCCAAAAATACAGAAGAGTAGGAAACACTCCAAGACTCATTTCATGAGGCCAGCATTACCCTGATACCATTTAAGGACACCACAAGAGAAGAAAATTACAGGCCAGTATTCCTGATTAACATAGATGCAAAAAACCTCACCAAAATATTATCCAACTGAACTCAACAATACATTAAAAGGATCATACACCATGATCAAGAGGGATTTATTTCAGGGGTGCAAGGATGGTTCAACATCTGCAAATCAATCAATGTGATATACCAGGTTGACAAAATGAAGGATAAAATTTATATGATCATTTTGATAGATGCAGGAAAAGCATTTGACAAAATTCATCCATTTATGATAAGAAAAAGCCCTCTCAACAAAGTGTATATATAGGGAGCATACCTCAACATAATAAAGGCCATCTATTATGACAAGACCACAGCAAACACCATAGTCAACAGTGAAAAGCTCACAGCTTTTCCTCTAACATCAGGAATAAGACAACCACTCCAGCCACTTTTATTCAACACACTACTGGAAGTCCTAGCCAGAGCAATTAGGCAAGAAATAGAAATAAAATGTGTCCAAATCAGAAAGGAAGAAATAAAATGGTCACTATTTGCAGATGACATCACATATAGAAAACCCTGACAACCCCACCAAAAAACTGTTAGAATAAACAAATTCAGTAAAGTTGCAGGATACAAAATCATTATTACACAAAAATCTATTGTGTTTCTATATGCTAATAATGAACTATCAGAAAGAGTAATTAAGAAAATAATCCTATTTACAACTGCATCAAAAAGAATAGAATACCTAGGAATAAATTCAACCAAGCAGGTGAAAGATCTGTACACTGAGAACTGTAAGACACTGATGAAGGAACGTGAAGGCACAAATAAATGGAAAGATATTCATTGCTCATAGAGTAGAAGAATTAATATTGTTAAAATATTCTTATTATCCAAGGCAGTCTACATATTCAATACAACCCCTATCAAAATTCCAATGGCATTTTTCACAGAAATAGAACAAATCCTAAAATGTGTATCAAAACATAAAAGACTTCAAATAGCCAAAGCAATCTTAAGAAAGGGGAACAAAGCTGGAGGAATCGTACTTCCAGATTTGAAATTGTATTTCAAAGCTATAGTAATCAAAACAGTACAGTACTGGCATAAAAGCAGACACATTGATCAATGGAACAGAATAGTGAGCCCCCAAATAAACCCAATGCATATATGGTGAATCAATTTTTGACAAAGGAGCCAAGTATATATTATGGGGGAAAGGACATTATTTTCAATAAATGGTGTTGAGAGAATTGGACCACTATCTTACCCCTAACAGAAAAGTCAACTCAAAATGGATTACAGACTTGAACTTAAGACCTGAAACAATAAAACTCCTAGAAGAAAACATAAGCAGTAAGATGTCCTTGGCATTTGTCTTGACAATCTTTGGATATGACACCAAAAACAAAAGCCACATAAGCAAAAATAGACACGAAGGACCACATCCCACTAGAAAGCTTCTGCAAAGCAAAGGATGCCATTAGCAACCTGAAAAGGCAGCCTACCCAATGGGAGAAAATATTTGCAAATCACATATCTGCCAAGGGGTTAATATCCAAAATATACAGAGAACTAATATAACTCAATAGCATTAATAATTAATAATACAGATGGCCAACAGGTACATGAAAAGGCGTTCAACATGACTAATCATTAGGGAGATGCAAATCAAACCCATAATGAGGTATCACCTCACATCTGTCAGAATGGCTATGAGACAAGAAATAATGAGAGAATGTGGAGAAATAGGAACTCCTTGTGCACCGCCCGTGGGAATGTAAATTGGTGCGGCCACTATGCACACAGTATAGAGGCTCCTCAGAAAATAAAAACAGAACTACCATATGCTCCAGCAATGCCATTTATCTGAAAGAAGCAAAACCATTAACTCAAGAAAAGTATCTTCCTCCCTATGTCCACTGCAGTATTATTTACAATAGCCAAGACATGGAAGCAGCCTAAGGGTCCATCAATGGATGAATGGTTAAAGAAAACATGGTATAATACACAATAGAATATTAGCCATAAAAAAGGAAATCCTGCTATTTGTGACAACATGAATAGACCTTGAGGACATTATGTTAAGTGAAATAAGTCAGAGAAAGGCAAATACCATATGATCTCAGTTATATGTGAAATACAAAACAGCTCACAGATACAGAGAATAGACTGGCTGCTGCCAGAGGCCAGGAGTAGGGGTGGGCAAAGTGGGTGAAGGTGGTCAAAAGGTACAAACTTCCAGTTATAAAACAAATAGGTCCTGGGATATAACAAAGAGCATGGTGACTAAGTCAATAATACCATGTGATATATTTGGAAGTTGCTAAGAGAGTAGATCTTAAAGTTCTCATAAGAAAAAAAAATGTAACTGTGTGGTGATGGATGTTAACTAGACTTACGGTGGTGATCATTTCACAATCAATGCAAATAAAATTACATTGTACACCTGAAACTAGTATGTTACATGTTACTTATACCTCAATTTTAAAAAATAAATAAGACTATGCTCTTAGCCCCACAGTCTTTCTCCTCTGCTTCTGGAACTCTGCTGACAGATGTTAGATCTTCTGCTATTGTTCTATAGATTCCTGAGTCTGAGCCTTTACTTCCAGTCTATCTTCTCTCTGTTGTTCAGATAGGTAATTTCTATAAGGTGTCATTAAGTTTACCGATTCTGTCTCCAATCCACTATTCAGATTGACCAATGAATCTTCAGTTTTGGCACTTGTATTTTTCAGTTCTATAATTTCCATTTTACTCTTTTTTATGTCTTCTATTTCTATGCTGAGGTTTCTTTTCATTCGTTCCAAGAGTGTTCATATTTTTTGCTGAAACATTTGCTATGCTGGCTGCTCTGCGCGTCTGCCAGGTAATTCAAGCACCTGAATCACGTTCGTGTTGTTATCTGTTGGCTGTCTTCATTTGCATCCACATTGTAATTGTTCTGGGTCTTGGCGTGATGAGTAATTTTTTACTGTGTGCATCCTATTTGTTCTTTAAAAGTTTCTTTTCTTTTTTAGTATGCAAAGAGCAGTAATATTCAAAATCCTTGGTGACTGGAATAGTAGGGAATTGGCCAAAAAATTACAGCCCACTCAGCATAGATGCTGACTGTAAATAACCAGTGTGTCCATGACAGTTCATATGGCCTAACTAGCAAACATCTCCCTGAACTCTCTGAAAACATGAATTATAATTTCATATGAATTAAAATATGAAATATAATTATACATTTAAATGAGTCCTTTCTCCTGTTTGCACTAGTTTTTGCCATTAGATACATTCCTCATATATCTGGTGGGTCTCTGCTCTCTGGTTATATTTAAGAGTGGTGCCTTAAGTTGGGATATTTCATGCCAAGGCAGGGTTTGCCAATTTGGGGGGCATGTAGGATGACCTGGCAGGCGTTTTGTGGGGAGACACTAACTGTCAGCACATAAATCTTTTATGTTGGGCCAGTTTCTCCCAATCCCATGACTCTCATCTCCTGAGTGCCCACATCTGGGAGACAAGTGAGAGAAAAGGACTGCATCTGACTGCTCCTTAGGGGAACCCTCTTGGCGGGTCTGTAGTGGCACCTTCACGGTGGCACCTG